AGAGTTCCTCCGTGTGAAAACCAAAAACCACCACTGACGTTCCAGGAAAGCTGCCTGTCCTCTGAAGGTTCCCGTCTCAGTATGTGAGGCACACGTCTCCCTCTCCAGGGCCTCGGAGTCAGGTCTCACTGCCGCACATCTTTATTAGACACTGTCCTTAGCATCTTCTACAGCTGTAATTTGTTTTCAATTTAAAGAACTGGCAAAAAAGTGTAAAGAATAAAAGAGCAAATATTCATGTCCCCACAGCTCAGAATTTCACATTTGAAACTCACTGTAATTAGTTTTTGTGTAATTATCCAGGGTCTGGATGCATTCACTTAGCATGTTTTCAAGGTTCATTCATGTTGTAGCAGCCATGTACCAGTACTTCATTCCTCTTCATGGCTGAATAATATCCCACTGTATGTGTATATGTGTGTGTGTATACATATATATACACAAATACCAAATTTTGTTTACCCATTCATCAGTTTATGGACATTTAGACTGTTTCTATTTTGGGGCTATTATGAATAATGCTCCTGTGAATATTTATGTACAAATTTTTGAGTGAAGATATGTTTTTTTAAAAGCATTTTCTAAGAACAGTTTTAGGTTTACAACAAAACTGAGAGGGAAGTACAGAGATTTCCCATACACTCTGCCCCATACACTCCTATATACACCTGCACAGTCTCCCCCATTATCATCACTCACCAGAATGGTACATTTTTTACCAAGGATGAACCCACACTGACACATTATAATCACTCAAAGTCCATAGTTTACCTTAGGGTTCACTCTTGATGTGTACATTCTATGGGTTTGGAAAAAGTATGACATATATCCATCATTATAACACCATAGAGTATTTTTACTGCCCTAAAAATCCTCTGTGCTCTGCCTATTCAACCCTGACAACCACTGGTCTTCTCACTGTTTTGCCTTTTTGAGAATGTCATGTAGCTGGAATCATACATATGCAGCCTTTTCCGATTGGCTTCCTTCACTTAGTAATGTGCTTTAAGGTTCTCCCTTGTCTTTTCACGGTTGATTGCCCATTTCTCTTTAGCCCTGAATAACACTCTACTGTCTAGATGCGCCACAGTTTATTTATCCATTCACCTACTGAAGGACATCTCAGTTACTTCCAAGTTTGGGCAGCTTGGTTCCAATTTCTCTACGTCCTTGCCAACACTTGTCGCTTTTCATTTTTTATAATTATAGCCATGCTAGTCAGTGTGAAGTGGTATCTCATTGTGGTTTTGATTTGCATTTCTCTAATGGCTAAGGATATTGAGCATATTTTCATGTGGGTATTGGCCGTTTGTATATCTTCCCTGGAAAAAACGTCTTTTCAAGTCTTTAGCCTATTTTCAGTTGGACTTATTTGTCTTTTTACTGTTCAGCTGTAACAGTTCTTTATATATTCTCTAGATACTATACCCTCACCAGATAGATGATTTGCAAATATTTTCTACCATTCTGTGGGTTGTTTTTACTTTTTTGATAGTGTCCTTTTGATGAAGTCCAATTTTTCCCCCCTTTTGGTTGCTTGTGGTTTAGATGTCATCTACGAAACCACTGTCTACTCCAAGGTCAGAAAGACTCATTCCTATGTTTTCTTCTAGAAGGTTTTAGAGTTCTAGGCTTACATTTAGGTATTTGACCCATTGTGAGCTAATCTGTGTACACAGCATGAGATAGGGGTCCAAATTTGTTAGTTTGTGTTTGGATATTCAGCTGTCCCAGACCATCTGTTGAAAATAAGTATTATTTTCTACGTAATTCTTTCTATTTGTTTCTTTTTGTTTTTTCCATTTTTATTCTCTATATTCCTTACTGAGTTTCTCTCCTTTGTGTTTCTTCAGATTTTGTCCTTATATTTATGATATTTGATTTTTCTTCCATTTCTGCCTGCCCACCTTTTATCTTACTATGTTGTTTTACCATCTTTTCCCTGAGTTCTTGCATTTTTGCTTTGTGGTCTTCCATCATAGAGGCAACTAATTAATTTTTTTTACATTCATGATAAAGTATTTAGTTATAATTTTATCTGATCCATTGCAGCCGTTTTCTAGTGAATGCTCTTCATATATTCATTTATTTTTTTTTACTCTTTTCCTTCACAGTTCTTTTTGTAGCTTTGGATTAACGTAGCACTAGTTCCTTTCTTCTTGAACAGCGTTGTCTGAGTTGGGTTTTCCGGGACTGGTTCTTTGTTAGTGGTTCCGGGTGTGTTGAAGGGGTCGGGGGTGGAGTTCCAGGCGGGCTGGTTTTCCCAACATTAAGGCTCATTTCTTGTCTTCTGCTGCATAGATGGCTTTTATAAGGGACTGAGCAGCTCAACTTCATCTGCTTCTGCTTCCAAGGTTCTTGCACTTGTAGTTACAAGTAGGAGGCACAGATTCTCACCTTTAGGAAACTTAATTCTCCTGGAGTTTTTTTTCAAAGATCTGCCGCTGTTTGTCCCTCTTTTGCTCAAATGTTTCTCCACAGTTTCTTGTTTCCAATTTCTTTGTCATGGTTGCCCCTGATTTCAGCTGCTCTTCCCAGCACTTATGTGTAATTTGTTATCTAGAGATTATATTTATCTCCTAGTTTTGCTGAATGTGGGGTTTCCAAAGATCTTTTCATTCTCTTTATCACTTTCAGATGATTTTCAGGAACAGAAAGCCATGGTAATAATGATACTTTAAGGTTTCTGTTTTTACATTTTAGACTTGACTCTTATTAATAGCATGCAAATGTACTTTATTCACTTAAAGAAATCTGTTTTGAGAATTTGTCTTTTATCTAATGAGTTTAGTCTGTGTGATAATAATGACATATTTAGACTTACATCTATCACCTCATTTCTTTCTATTTATTATGCCTCCTTTTTCCTTCTTACATTTTGTCTTATATTTCTGCTGTTGTATTAATTTGTATTTCCTTTGTTTGCTCTCCCATTTCCCCAACTGGTTAAATCATACATTCTATTTGTTTCTCTCCTTTTGGTGGCTTCCTTTGCATTTTTTTTAAAATTAAGATTATGATAGTTAAACAGCCTTGTGAAATTACAGTTGTACATTATTATTAGTCATGTTGTAGGTATACCACTTCACCCTTAGTGCCCTCCCCCGAGCCCCCTTTCCCCTGGTAACCACCGATCAGTTCTCTTTGTCTATATGTTAGCTATCACCTATGAATGGAGTCATACAGCGTTCATCTTTCTCTGTCTGGCTTATTTCACTCAACATAATACCCTCAAGGTCTATCCATGTTGTTGTGAATGGGATGACTTTGTCCTTTTTTATGGTTGAGTAGTATTCCATTGTATATATATACCATATCTTCTTTATCTAACCATCAGTTGCTGGGCACTTAGGTTGCTTCCACATCTTGGCTATTGTAAATAATGCTGCGATGAACATAGGGGTGCACGGGACTTTTGGAATTGCTGATTTCAGGTTCTTAGGATAGATACCCAGTAGTGGGATGGCTGGGTCATAAGGTATTTCTATTTTTAACTTTTTGAGAAATCTCCATACTGTTTTCCATAGTGGCTGCACCAGTTTGCATTCCCACCAACAGTGTATGAGGGTTCCTTTTTCTCCACAGCCTCTCCAACATTTGTCACTCTTGGTTTTGGATATTTTCGCCATTCTAACAGGTGTAAGGTGATATCATAGTGTAGTTTTGATTTGCATTTCCCTGATGATTACTGATGATGAGCATCTTTTCATGTGTCCATTGGCCATTCATATATCTTCTTTGGAAAAATGTCTGTTCATATCCCCTGCCCATTTTTTGATTGGGTTGTTTGACTTTTTGTTGTTGAGCTGTGTGAGTTCTTTATATATTATGGAGATTAACCCTTTGTCTGATAAATAACTTGTAAATATTTTTTTCCCAATTAGTGGGCTGTTTTTTTGTTTCAATCCTGTTTTCCCTTGCCTTGAAGAAGCTCTTTAGTCTGATGAAGTCTCATTTGTTTATTCTTTCTATTGTTTCCCTCGCCTGAGGGGTTATGGTGTCCAAAAAGATTCTTTTGAAACTGATGTCAAAGAGTGTACTGCCTATATTCTCTTCTAGAAGACTTACTGTTTCAGGCCTAATCTTTAGGTCTTTGATCCATTTTGAGTTTATTTTTGTGAATCGTGAAAAAGAATGGTCAATTTTCATTCTTTTACGTGTGGCTGTCCAGTTTTCCCAGCACCATTTGTTGAAGAGACTTTCTTTTCTCCATTGTAGGCCCTCAGCTCCTTTGTCGAAGACTAGCTGTTTATAGATGTGTGGTTTTATTTCTGGGCTTTCGATTCTGTTCCATTGATCTGTACACCTGTTTTTGTACCAGTATCATGCTGTTTTGATTACTGTAGCTTTGTAGCATGCTTTGAAGTCAGGGATTGTGATGCCTCCAGCTTTGTTCTTCTTTCTCAGGATTGCTTTAGCAATTCGGGGTCTTTTGTTGCCCCATATGAATTTTTGGATTCTTTGTTCAATTTCTGTAAAGAATGTCATTGGGATTCTGATTGGGATTGCGTTGAATCTGTAGATTGCTTTAGGTAGTATGGACATTTTAACGATGTTTATTCTTTCAGTCCATGTGCATGGAACGTCTTTCCATCTCTTTATGTAGTCATCGCTTTCTTTCAAGAAAGTCTTGTAGTTTTCGTTGTATAGATCTTTCACTTCCTTGGTTAAATTTATCCCAAGGTATTTTATTCTTTTTGTTGCGATCGTGAATGAGATTGAGTTCTTTTTCTGTTAGTTCATTGTTAGCATATAGAAATGCTACTGATTTATGTATGTTGATTTTATACCCTGCAACTTTGCTGTAGCTGTTGATTGTTTCTAATAGTTTTCCTATGGATTCTTTGGGGTTTTCTATATATAAGATCATGTCATCTGCAAACAGCGAGAGTTTTACTTCTTTGTTGCCTATTTGGATTCCTTTTATTTCTTTTTCCAGCTGAATTGCTCTGGCCAACACCTCCAGTACTATGTTGAATAAGAGTGGTGAAAGTGGGCACCCTTGTCTTGTTCCTGTTCTCAGGGGGATGGGTTTCAGTTTTTGTCCATTGAGTATTCCTTTGCATTTTTAATATACACATATGGCAGGGTGTTAAACGTGACGTTCAGTGTTCTGTGAATTTCATTTGAGAACAACAGATGTCAGAGAACCTATGCAGAGTGTGCTACGAGATTGTTAAGGAGATTTTTGTGGCCCTTAGTTTGTTACCTTCTCAGGTATAGATTTAGAGAGAATTGTTGGTATGCTCTGTGGTGTTTCTCCTTCCCTCTTGCTTCTCTTCCTTGTCAGTCCAGGTGAGATACGTGTCCAAGAATCATTTGGAGGACTGCATGGGTATCCCCTGGAAAGTGGAGGTATGTAGGTTCCTGACTCATGCCTGGAAAAATGTTTAAAGGTGTGTAAGCTTTCAGGAAGCTGGTCACGAGCCAGCTCTGTCTGTGGAAGTGTCTCTCTCCGAGGTAATGGAGGCGTCTCAGTTCTAGCTCCCTACCTCTGGTCGGCCCAAGTCCTGTCGTTTCTCTTTGCCAGGACAATGCTACCCTAGCTCCAGCCATTATGGTCAGTGTGGGGCTCTGACAACTACACCTCCTCGGGGCCATCCCAGAAGTAGTTTGCACTTATGCTGTGTCTTTAGCCCATCCCTTCATTTCTGGCTCCTGGAATTCAGCTACTCATTATTCTATCCAGAATTTCTAGGAGTTGGTACTGAGAGGCTTTCAGGTTATTTTCATCTGGCATTTTGCCAAAACTAGATGTCTATTTGAACTCACTGAGTGTCTGCTTTCCATAGTAGATGGTAAACTCCCTTTCAGTTTGACCATGTAGGTGACCAGATAATCGTTCCTGGTCACTGCTTTATCTCCAGCTCTCAACACAGAGTCTGGCACACAATGAACGCTGAGTAAATATTTGTTGAACAAATGAGTGACTTTCACATACATCAAGGCTTCAGCAGTGAAGGATAGATGTAATCATGTCTACAAACATGAGCACGCCAATGAAGAGCCTTATGGGAGGGCTGGAAAGCCAGGCGCCTGTATCGTTTCAGCTTTGCTACAATTGACTCGCCTCAGCTCACCTAACAGCTTTCTTTTGGCACGGTTTTTCCCGTTTCTAGACTTCATAAAACTCCCACTTCATTCCTATCCTCTTTTAAAAGTCCAATTTATTTAGGTATAACTTACATGTAGCAAAGTGTACCAATTTAAGTGTATGTTTAGATGAGTTTTGACAGATTTATATGCCCATGTAACCACTAGTACAGTCAAGATGAGGAAGATTCCCATCACTACAAGAAGTTCCCTTTCCCCAGGCAATTCCCCAAACTCTCAGCCCCCGGTTGCCACGGATCTGCTCTCTGTCCCTGTAGGTGAGATTACTCTTTTCTAGAGTTTCATATAAATGGAATCATATAGTATGTGCTCTTTGGTGTCTGACTTCTACTCATTTAATGTTTTTGAGATTCATCCATGTCACTGTAAGTATCAGTAGTTCATTCTCCTCCCCTATCTTTTTGAAATAAGAGAGTTTCTCCTGTTTCTAAAGGAGTTCTTTTCCTTCTCTCCTTCTCTAACTTTCCCTGTTGCTCTTTCCTCTCTCAGTTCCCTTAATTTCCAGTCTATCATCAGGTGTTGTAAGTCACTTTTCCTTCCACAGGTTCTGTAATCCAAGATGTCTGTAAAGAGCTGGAATAGCACAAGGATGTCGTCTTCATCCAGGCTTATTCCTGAGTGGAAGGACTTGAAACTCCTCATAGATAATAAGCTGAAGGATATAAAGGTGACGTGTGTGAGAGAGATGCACATGGTGGGCTTAGACTAATTATCTATCCCTGCTAAGGCAGCCTGTGGCACGGGCAACAGGGAGCAGCTTCGGAAGGGTCCTCCCATCCCCCTAAAAAACTCTCCCTTCTAGACTAAGATGATAACATTACTTATAATTAGCACACTTTCTGATACAAAAAACAGAGAATGCACTCACATGGATTAGACAAGCAGGAGGCATCTTTGTCTTACATGTCATCAAGGACCCATGTTCTTTTCTGTTCTTTTTCACCAACCTTGATATTTTAGCTTATTATCTGAAAGTTACTAGATTATTTGCTGCACTTCCATGTATCAGCTTTAAATTGTAAGTAGGTAGAAGAGAAAAAGGCAGAAAGCCCAGAGCTGTGACGGCCATGGAGTACCACGGTGCCACTCTATACTGCCAGAATTTCTGGGTCCATGATCGCCCTAAACAAGATTCAAGTTTTATTGGGATGGAAGGCGGGGCAAGAGGAAGGAAGGGAGATTTATAGAGAGGAGGCAACAGTAGTGCCAGGCACAGACACATTGCTTGAGCTTAAGACAGTCTTGATCTTTTAGTGTCCTCTGTAGATAGACGTTGCTATTGTTGACTGAGTGAATGAGCTGTTTGTACGTGAAGTCTGGAAAGAAGAAAAGGAATGATGATTAACTAATGGAATAAAGGGTATATAAATGAGCTTTCTGATTAAATGGGAGTTTGGGAGCTCAGATACCAGGGTCCTTTCTCTCAACTCTGCTGCTGTCACTGAATCAGTAATGACAATGGGTACTAGAAGCCCTCCAGCTCTCTGCATTCTGTATTCTCTCAGGATACACAAAGATCTGAAAATGAGAAATACAGGGAGAAGAGAGATTCTGAGTTGCAGATAATGGCCTCAGTATGGTCTCAAATCCTTTGTGGATGCAGGAAGCAGGCATGAGAGACATTTTGAGTAAAGAAATATTAACAGTTTGGTTTAATTCAATGTCTTACTTTTCAGCTTAGGTAGTCATAGCACAAATTCTGGTGCAGAGAAACTTGGAGAGTTAGAGTCATGGAGCATTGTTCAGGAGGCAGGTATAGCATAAGTATCTGCTGAGAAGAGAGACCTCAAAAGCCAACTTCATGAGCCTCAGTTTTCACTGCTCAGGACGAGTTGATGCACTTTTATGCTAGATATACACTATGTCCACCGGAATGTAGTGTGCATTGCACATGTTCTACTGTGTAACATGTTAAAAGGTATCTATCTCCCTTGACACACACACACACACAAACCCCACTGGGTGAGACTCCAGAATGTTGGAGTCGAAGCACAGTCTAACTCCATGCTGTGAATAGCATGTTTCCCTTGGATGTCCGTAGGAATAGTGAAGGCGGAGTGTGCCACAGGTGTAGCTGGCACACGTGGGGGCATTCTCTGTCTGTGAAGTATGAGTTTCCCATAGGCAGTATATCATGAGTGTGAATGTGACAGGAGTAGTCCTTTGGGGCTAGGCAGGAACTGTGAAGAGTTGTTGCAACCGTGACAGGTAGCAATATTTGCCAAGGTTGGGGGGCCTTGTCATTCTCGCATGGGATTGTACCCCTTTCTTTTGAAGCACTTACTTGTTTTCCACAGTCATTTGTTAGTGGTTTGTTTAATGTCTGTTTCCTCCACTGGATCTTTATCTTTTGAGAGCTAAGGCCGTGTGTCCTTTGCTCAGCATTGTGTCTACAGTGTTTGTCATAGAACAGACCAGCCTTCCTCAAATGTGGCTCCTCATGTGAACCATGGAACACAGAAAATGATTTGAGGGGCTATTTTCTCAGTTCTCTTAAGGATGGTACATAACCAGTAGCATTCTAGACGCATAGGGAAGAGATGAATTCATTATGTAGAGTGGATACTTTAGGACTTCAGGGCTCACTTCTCTTATGGAGCCCTGGTTGAGAAGGGCTGAAGGTGCTTTGACGACTTAGGATGTATTCTGAGGGGGAGGGAGGCATGACTCCCCAAAGAGTGCTTTCCAGTAGTAGAGTGAATAAATGTTGGTTAGCTAAACAACAACAAATGTCCACTAATCCCTCAATAAATATTCATTAAATGAGTGGAGACTCAGTCCTCTTAGCTCAGGTCACTCTTCTCTCTCAGGCTGATAGAAAACCAAAGAATGATGTGGTTGTACTGAGTGACTGGCCTGAGACTCTATACCAGGAGCCTCACCACCCCAGAAGCAAGCCTTTTATCTGCTTTTACTCCATCAACGCCAACTACTTCGTCTCCTTAAACTGGGTGGAACCGAGTTCAAAAGAAACGCAGGTAAAGCGACGTGACCTTTTTATTTTCCTCCTTCTTTCTCCACTTTACCTGCATCATACCTAAATTGCCCTCGTCTCAGAATGAGGAGGGTGATTCTGAGTTGGCACATTTTAATAGCCATCTCCATATCCCAATTGACCTGGATGCAGCGGTTCTTCTTCACCTCTAGTCACTGGAATTCATATGCCCCATAAAGTAGACGGAAGGCTAAGGAAAGAGCCACAGCATGGGGCTTCTATCACATACCCGACTCCTCGTGCCAGGAGACTCCCGAAGTCAGGCTGTCCAGTCTTTCCTTAGTCCCACAAGAGGGAACCGGTATCTAAACATGCAACCCTTTCTTACCCCCTCACTATTGGGAGATAATCTGCCTCCACAGTCAAGCTTTCCTCTTTCCTCCTCTTCTAGGCAGTACTTTGGGTACAGGAAAAAGATCTGGAAATGGCAGGAATGATAGAGAAGACGAAGTTTAACGTGATGGATCAAGTGCCACCCATCGAAGCAATGGTCCACACAGGTTCCTACCACATGTTAATTGCTTACTGTGGCGACATGCACCTGTGGCTCTTTGGAGACCACCATCAAGCATTCACACCTCTGGGTACAGTGCCCTGTCGTTTCTCCATCAGCTGCCTCTGCTATGACTCAGAAGCTGAGATGCTGCTCTCTGGTACCTTAGGGGCTGTGGTTACCTGGTTTATCTCACCAAACGGCAGGGGCCTCGAGATGGCACAAGCAGTGCCCTTGCCTGGTTGTGAGTTTGTACAGGGCTTTTCCCTGAATGGCCCCCGGGGCTCCCTCTTGGCTCTTTGTGAGAATAAGGTGAGGGTCTTCACCCACCAGGGACAGGGCCGGCTGGAAGAGGTAAAGAAGTTCATTCCTGTAGGCAGTGGCTCCTCCATCACCTGCTCCTTCACTTGTGTCTCTCAGGGCTATCTCTATGCTGGAAACAGGAATGGAGAGATCCATGCTTGGGGTCTAGACCAGGGTAACTTCCTCCACAGCTTCCAGGCCCATTCTTCGTCAGTGATATGCATCCATAGCCGGCCAGAGGCCCACACGTTACTAACAGCAGGCAGTGAGGGCGCAGTGAGGGAATGGAATCTTGCCTTTGGGAACTTGCTGCGGCAGCTGAATATTGCTGGGGATCTGCAGCAACTGCAGTTTATTGATAACACCGCTTTTTGCTGCCAGACCACCTACACCTTCTCATTGTACCGTCTGCCCTACTTTTATAGCCTCTTCAATGTCTGTGGCTCTCCTCCCCAGCAGGTGCAGCGGGTCTGCTGTGGCCATAATTGGACTCGAATCCTGTGTGCCACTAAGGATGGTTTATTGCGCTTCTTGTCTCCAGTAACAGGAGATCTCCTGGTTATCACCTGGCCTCTACTTGTCATGGATAAGGCTGTGGCTTGGGCCTATGACTCAGACAGAGAGGAGCTCTTTGTGGCAACAGACAGTCCAGAGGTGCTGGTGTTTGATGCAACACGCTCGCCTTGCACAGCCAAGTATCTTGTGTGCACTTCAGTAAACCATGAGGATAGAGTAAGATGCCTGGCCTATGCGCAGTCCTGTCTGGGGAAGGGCCTGGTGGGACTGATGTTCTGTGGGCATGAGAGTGGCATTGTGAGAATCCTCTCCCACTACAGCTGTGCCCGAACAGAGAAGACAGTTCACTCTGGGGCAGTATTGGCACTGTCTACCCTGGAAGGCCCCCAGGAAGACTGCTTGCTTTGTTCCTACGGCATGGATAATGTTGTCCACCTGACAGAAGCTGTACTTCAGAGGAACAAGGTAACCCTGAAGCCTGTCAGCAAAATTTTCTGCAGCTCTCTGCTAACATATGTGATCCTCTTGCCAGGTTCTGTGGGCGCCATCACTGAGAACAACTGCTGGCGTCTCTGGCACTACCAAGATTTTCCAACATCTTCAGGATCAGAACAAAGCTCTAGGTTTAAAGAGACAAAACGCCTGCACGAGTGTGCTATCACCTCATTTGATGTCTGCCTTTCCCTGAAACTTTTTGTCACGGGGGGCACTGATGGCTCAGTCCGGATCTGGGACTTCCATGGTAGACTCATAACTGAGTTGGACTCAGCACTGCATTTTGGCCCACTCTGCTTTGCCAATAATCGGGGTGACCTGCTTGTGACTTTTAACCAGAGTCTTTACCTGGTATCCTGCTTGAAACTGCTCCATCCAGCTCGGCTGACTCACCTAACTATCCTAAACAGTGCCGATCACAGACAAGAAGCCCCTAAACCCTTCCTGCCTAGCTTCTTCTTTTCTTTTGAAACAGTGTTTGTACCCAAATTTGTCTACCTTGGACAAGGGCTGCAGGAATTACAGGGGCTAGAGGCCCTTGTTAACAAACGGGTCATTGCCTTTGACAATACTGTGCCCCATGTTGTAGAGGAAGAGAGACATATGTCCTCTGTCATTCCAGAGGGATCCAAATCACATATTTTGGAGGATAAGGGTATTGATTCTTCTACTCTGGACTCCAGACATAATCGTCCCCTACACGTGGTTCCCGCTCAATTACGGCTGGCCGGCTGGGATGGACTGAAGCCCTACCATATGTTACGGTGCTTCTTTGGTCATGGGAGGCAATGGCCCCTCGCTCCTGATGGCTACATCCCCAACTCAGTGATCCGTGCCCGCCTTTGGCCTGAGGGTACCCCAATATTCCTACGCTGTGATCTGTACCCATCCTACCGAGATGAGGAAAGGGACAAGAGTGAACTGTCACCTATGACTCTAACAGAAGAGAAAATCTCAATGGGTAAACAGGAGAAGAAACCCAGGAAGGGGAAACGAAGTTTCTTTGATGTTCTTCTAAGCATGAAAAACCAAAATTGGATGGGAAAATTTGATGAACGACTTATAAATAATGCAATCGAGGCCATCCTCAGCCTCACAATTTGCTGTTCTGTAGAGCAATACAAGACATATATTAGTGTCCTGGCAAAAACTTTTGCCAATTATGAAGTGCCTTCAAAGTTGCGCTCTGAGGCTGCCTGTCGCTTCCTGGAAGATACAACCTATTCCAATCCGCGGATCCGTGAGCTAGCCTGGGAGGCACTAGAAAGGCTAGGCCTCATAAGCCATCTCTTCGCTATTCCACTGGCTGTGGGATTGATGGACAGTAACGAAAATGTGCGGGCTAAGGCCTTATACCTTATGATAAGAGTCACAGGCATCCAGACTAAGACCATGCTGGTGGGCCTGCTAAAGAAACCAGAAACTCTCCAGGAAATGCAGTAAGTTGGTGGTGACCTTCTTCCCTTCTGTCCCTTCTAGCTCTAACCTGATTGCTGATTCTGATTGCTGATTGAACAGCAAGCATTTCTGTACCATAAAGCCTCAGTCTCCTTTGCCTTTGTACCTCTTATGGTAGTTCATTGAACTAGATAGTACAAAGGATCCCACTCAGGAACTCTGGTTTTTCTTAACTATTTTTCTCCCAATATCTCTGCAGGTAAAAATCTGATTGCTTCTCCTCCTTTTCTACTACTCTTTTTCTATTCTTTTCCTCCCCCATGTTCTTTGTTTTTATTCACATTTTCCCCTAGTGCCTACCCCTTTTCTTCTGACCATTGGCTAGCCTGCCCCTGCATTATTTCCTCACTACCTTAAATTCCTTAAGACTCAAGCCTACAAATCTCCCAACCAAAGAAACATCTTGTGTCACCCTGACTACTCTATTCCCTGCTATCTTTGATTCTTTTTCCTTTATCCGTCCTTTCCTTCAGAAGACACTGTCCTAAGTGGCTACTTATTTCTGCCTCTTCCATTGTCGTTTTCCCTCCTCCCCCTCTCCTGCTCCCGCCCTCCTCCTCTTCTTCAAATTTTTATTGCTGGCTCAGGATTATCCTCCTTTTCTCTTGACTTTTGCAGGAAGCAATTTATTGGAGAAGCCTCTCTGGACCAGCTGCTGGGGATTCAAGCTAAAGACATCCAGTGGCTGCTTACTCAGGTGCAGCAGCGGCTAAAAGAAAACCTGACCTTGTCACGTGGAGACCAAGAATTTACTTTTTCTTTAGATAGAGCAAGGGCTAGTGAACTTGAGGCCCTTTATGAAGAAACACGCACACCTTTTTCAGAACATAAAAAGATCATTAAACCGAGGAGAAGAACGACACATATTCAAGCAAGGAGCAGATATCATAGTATGTATGGGGTAATATGTGGCGCATAATTGGGGCCCATCTCAGGGCACCAAAAGGCAAGGTCTATAAGGCCAAGGTATATAAAAAGATTCCAGTGGGAACAGAGTTAAATAAGGAGAATCTTTTTCACAGAAAGTAAGCTTCCTGGGAAAGACTGACCACACAACAGAGACCAAGGTCTTATTTCTTTAGGATGTGGAAGCTGGGATAAAACAGCAAGCATTTCTGTACCATAAAGCCTCAGTCTCCTTTGCCTTTGTACCTCTTATGGTAGTTCATTGAACTAGATAGTACAAAGGATCCCACTCAGGAACTCTGTGTTTTTCTTAACTATTTTTCTCCCAATATCTCTGCAGGTAAAAAGGATCTGAAAGTTTCCAGGAAGCAGAGACGGACAGAATCTGTAAAGTTTAGTCCTGTGTTGGTGGAGTCAGAGGATCAAGGTGAACAAAGAGAGGCCAGGAAATCAGGGCAAACTGACACCCAGGATGTTGCCTTGGAGCCAGAGCCAACACTAAGTACTTTCAGCCCAGTTGGATCCCAAGAGGACGCTGAATCACAGGAGGTCGCGTTGGAGGCCACGGAAGCCACAGAAGCCCAGGAAGTCATGGAGGTGATGAAGGCCATAGATCAACATGGCATGAAAGAGGATGAAGAAGTGATCCCTACACTGCAAAAACAACAATACGTGAAAGGGCTCTGGAAAAGCGCACTGAAAAAAGGGCATGAAAACGCATATGTGAAGTTGAAAGAGAAAAAACATTCGGAGGTTATTTCTGAGACACCTGCAGAAGAGCCCAAGGAAGAAGTCGTACAAGTTACTGAGCAAGAAGAAGATACAAGGAAGAAATCTAAAAAGAGTTCCCATGGTTTGGCTGGGATCCCTGGACGTGCAAGTAGATCAGACACCAGGTCTTGGAGGGATGACATTTGCTATCTTGTCACCTCAAGGATAGCAAGTACCCATCCAGGAATGTTAAGGGATTTGGGTCAAGAATTGGTGGACTTGGCTCAGGTGATGCTTGCTTCCCGACAGCCCAGCTGGGATCTCTTCCAAGAGATCTGCCCCCTTTTAAAGGACTCATCAGAACTGGATGACAGAGGGGTGGAAGAAAAAGAAAAAGTGGTTAGAGAGGTCAAGGAAGAAAGGACAGTAGGATGGAGAGAACAAAGGGGTGAAAAATTATTAAAGAAAGGCAAGGCACTTTTTGAGAAAGTCAAGAAAAAGAAAATTTCTTTCTCAGATCATCTAGTCTTAGAGAAAAGAAAATTAAAAAAAGGAGTAAGGGAACTGGCCAGGCGAGAAGGGAAAATAGCTGAGGAAGAAAGGAAATTGAGTAAGCCAGAGAGGAAATTAGTGCAGGGAAAGGAGAAACTGACCAAGGATAAGAAAAAACTGACCCATCAAGAAGGTAAAATAGCTGGGAAAGAAGAAATACTGGCTTTCCCACAAAAAATATTAACCAAGAAGTTAGGCCTAGGAGAAAAGAAATGGACTGGAAGAGAGGGGAGACTTCCAGGGAAAAGAGAGCGAGTGACCCGGAAAGACGGGAAGGCAACACCAGAAAGGAGGAAGTGGGACCGGGAGCAGATTATGCTGGCTCATGAAGAAGGCGTGTGGGCCCAGGAAGAGGGGTTGCCTGTCTGGGAAGAGAGGAAGTTGTCCCAGGAAGAGGAGGAGCTGGGTGAGGAAGAGGAGGAGCTGAGTGAGGAAGAGGAGGAGCTGGGTGAGGAAGAGGAGGAGCTGGGTGAGGAAGAGGAGGAGCTGGGTGAAGGAGAGGAGGAGCTGGGTGAGGAAGAGGAGGAGCTGGGTGAGGAAGAGGAGGAGCTGGGTGAGGAAGAGGAGGAGCTGGGTGAGGAAGAGGAGGAGCTGGGTGAGGAAGAGGAGGAGCTGGGTGAAGGAGAGGAGGAGCTGGGTGAGACAGAGGAGGAGCTGAGTGAGGAAGAGGAGGAGCTGGGTGAAGGAGAGGAGGAGCTGGGTGAGGAAGAGGAGGAGCTGGGTGAGGAAGAGGAGGAGCTGGGTGAGGAAGAGGAGGAGCTGGGTGAGGAAGAGGAGGAACTGGCCTGGGAAGAGGAACTAATCCTGGACATACAGAAACAAGCTGAAGAATGGAAAAAGGTCCTCAGAAAGAGGAGACACATCTGGAGTATGGAGAAACTTGTTGAGGAAGAGGCCTGGAAAAGGGGAAAATTGGCCCAGGAAAAGGAATATTTGTCTAGAGAAGAGGAAGGACTGTCTGGGAAAGACAGAAAACAGGCATTAAAAAGGGCCAACATGGCAAAGCAAGAGATTACATTGACCCAAGAAAAAAAGAAATGGTTAGTAAACAAGAAAAAAGAGGCCCATAAAGAGGAACAAACCCAAGAAAAGAAAAAACAAGATGGGAAACAGGAGAAAGAAGACCAGAAAGAGAGGCAGGCTAAGAAGGAGGAAAAACAGGCCAAGGATAAACAATTAGCGTGGCAAAGAAAGAAACCAGGCCTAGAAGAGGAGGAACCATTTGGGGAAATGGAGAAATTGTCACAAGAAGGAGATAAAAAGACCCAGAAAAAGGAGACAAAAGCTTGGGAAAAGGAGAGAAGGGCCCGGGAAGAGGAGAAAACAACTGAGAAAAAGAAACAACAGGCCAGGGTGAAAAAGAAAATGGACCTAGGAGAGGAGAAACAGGCTGAAGAAATGGAGAGATGGTCACAGGAAGAAAAGAAACAGGCCCAGAAGGAGAAAAGATGGGATCAGAAAGAGGAGTTGGCTCAAAAAGTGGAGAAAGAGGCTGAGGGGAAAAAACAGGGCAGAGAAAAAATGAAACTGATCCCGGAAGAAGAAAAAATGAAGGAAATTGAGGAAGTGTCTCCAAAAGAAAAGAAACAGGCCATGGAAAAAGAGAAACAGGCTAAGAAAGAGGAGAAAAAGAAGGAGGAAACTGAGGAAGTGTCCCGAAAAGAAAAGAAACAGGCCATGGAAAAAGAGAAAGAGCCTAAGAAAGAGGAGAAAAAGAAGGAGGAAATTGAGGAGGTGTCCCCAAAAGAAAAGAAACAGGCCATGGAAAAAGAGAAACAGGCTAAGAAAGAGGAGAAAAAGAAGGAGGAAATTGAGGAAGTGACCCCAAAAGAAAGGAAACAGGCCATGCAAAAAGAGAAACAGGCTAAGAAAGAGGAGAAAAAGAAGGAGGAAATTGAGGAAGTGACCCCAAAAGAAAGGAAACAGGCCATGGAAAAAGAGAAACAGGCTAAGAAAGAGGAGAAAAAGAAGGAGGAAATTGAGGAAGTGACCCCAAAAGAAAGGAAACAGGCCATGGAAAAAGAGAAACAGGCTAAGAAAGAGGAGAAAAAGACGGAGGAAATTGAGGAAGTGACCTCAAAAGAAAGGAAACAGGCCATGGAAAAAGAGAAACAGGCTAAGAAAGAGGAGAAAAAGAAGGAGGAAATTGAGGAAGTGTCCCCAAAAGAAAGGAAACAGGCCATGGAAAAAGAGAAAGAGCCTAAGAAAGAGGAGAAAAAGAAGGAGGAAATTAAGGAAGTGTCCCCAAAAGAAAAGAAACAGGCCATGGAAAAAGAGAAACAAACTAAGAAAGAGGAGAAATGGGTTGGGCAAGATAAGAAAGCCATCGAGGAAAAAAAACAATGGACCTATGAAAAAGGGCAGCTCGCCCTACAAGAGGAAAAACAGGCCCAGAAAGAGAGAATACAGGGTCAGAAAGAGGAGAAAGAGAGTGAGCAAAAAAAACAATGGGCCTGGGAAAAAGAGAGATTGTCCCTAGAAGAGGAAGAACAAGCAGGTGACATGGAGAAAAGACTGACACAGGAAGGTAGTAAAGTGGCCAAAGAAGAGAGACATATTGCTAAGAAAGGAAAGGCAAAAGCCAAGGAGGGAATTGGCATAACTAAGCGAAAGAAAAAAACAACCCAAGAAGAGAAAGAAGTTGTGAAAGAAGAGGGCAAACCTTCCCAGGAAGAGAGGAAACTGGCCTATGATATTAGGACCAAGGAGACAGCTGCTGCCGAGAAAAAAAAGAAAAGAACCAAAGAGGAAAGAATAGAGGCAATGAGGAAACTGGATATGGAAAAGGGTATTAGTTCGGAAGACAAAGAGGCCAGTTCCAGGGAAAAAGATATAAGGAAGAAAGAGAGTCAGCTCTTGAGGATCCTGGCTAAAACAATTAGAGAAATAAGTACAGCGACACTGGAAGAAACAGAAATACTTGAGGAAAAGAGATCATTCATTATGGAAAGGAGTGAAATTGATGACCAGAGGTGGGAATTTTTTAAAGAACAGGAGGAAATAACCACAGACGAGAAGGAACTAGCTCAGAAAGAGAGAAAACTAGAAGACGACAGACTAGCTACCAAAGAGAGAACACTGACTGATGAAGAGAGCCTGGAGGAGGACCAACGGTTATTACAGAAGGCCCAGGAAAACACGCTATTAGATAAAATCCAGGTACAAAGTATCTTAAAGGAGGTCCAGGAGCAAAATCTGTTAGGAAAAAAGCAGCTAAAGAAGCTTGTGAAGAGAGTTGAGAATAAACCAGAAAAGACCTGGGTAAAGTGGTTATTAAAGAATATCAGAGGCCTAATGTTAGAGGGCTTATCTGAAAGCTTGATTAAGAAGGAAATAGAGGAAGGCCCAACTAAGAAGGGGAAAGAGGAGGAGAGTCTCACTGAGGAAGGAGAAGAGGAGGAGCTTCTGCCCCAGAGAGAGAAAAGGAAACATCTGATTAAGAAGCAGAAAAAGAAGGTAAGCCTGAGTGAAGAGAAACTGGAAGAGAACTTGGCTAAGAAGCCTAAGAGTTCAGCCCAAAGAAGGAAAAAGGAAAAGAGGTTGCTTCCGGAGAAAGAGCGGCTGAGGAGGAAGGAAACAGAGGGCCCACATGAGGAAGCGAAGGAGCACCTCAGCAAGGAGGAGGAGGAGAGCCTGAGTGAGGAGGAGAGCCCGAGTGGGGAGGAGAGCCTGAGTGAGGAGGAGGAGGAGAGCCTGAGCGAGGAGGAGGAGGAGAGCCCGAGTGAGGAGGAGGAGAGCCTGAGTGAGGAGGAGAAGGAGAGCCTGAGTGAGGAGGAGGAGAGCCTGAGTGAGGAGAGGAGAGCCCGAGTGAGGAGGAGAAGGAGAGCCCGAGTGAGGAGGAGGAGGAGAGCCCGAGTGAGGAGGAGGAGGAGAGCCCGAGGGAGGAGGAGGGGGAGGAGAGCTTGAGCAAAGACGAGGAAAAAGAGAGTAGACTTATGGAGGCAGTGCTCTCAGAAGAGAGAGTACTGAAAACAGAGCTTGCAAAGGAAGAAGTGAGCTTACTGAAGCCAGTAACAGAAGGTGATGTTCTTACTGAGGAAAGGGAGCGTAGAGCTCGAAGGGAAATGCCTTTTAAGAAAGAGAGATTGCCTGATGGAAGGAGAGAACCTACACTTATGGATACGGCTACGTGGACAACATTTCTGAAGAGCCCCTTCAAAATACCACTCCCAGTAGTCCTCGAGAAAGAAGAGGGAATGCCCCTGAAAG